GTGTCGGTGCAGGAGGCTGACTACAAGAACATCCTGGCATCCCTCAGGGTAGCAGAGCCACAGAAAGGGCCCCATAGAGGTGGTGCCACATCCTAGGCACTGATGCTGGGGGCCATTGTGGTAACTTATGGTCTCTTCTGAGGTCATTCCACACTCACATTTCTGAACTTCACCGTGTGCATCACGGGAGTCCTTGAAATTCATTTGTTAGCACAATCAGATTTTAAAACTACAAACATCTCTGGAATGTGCAAGTGTGAGGCCATCTTTCCGCCATGTCTTTGTAGGACCCGTTTCAGTCTGGCTTTACTCTTTTCTCTCAGCCAACTATAGAAGACCATTTGGGAGGCTCTTCTTAAATGCAGAACGATCATCTCTGCATCAGTTAAACAGAGCCCTATCTCCATGTACTGATATGTAGAGAGATGGCTAAGCTATTTCCTTCTCCCTTTCAATTGGCTCTAAGCAATGTAAATAGGGCTGGCTACAATCTTTGAAGCCAGCCAACAGTCTCCTGTTTCCTCACATTGTCTCTGCCTATAAATGGTTGACCACAGCAGGATGGCAGCCTGGGTTTGAGCCTCAGAATGAGAGACCATGACTTCCCAGGGCACAAAAGTTTACAATCAGACACTGAAGCATGAGCCTCCTAAACATTCAAATGCTACCCCAAATGAGTTATGCAGACTGGTCTTTCTGCATACCCTTCTCTCTGCATACTGCAGAGATGCTTTCTGGTCTCCTACCTAAGCCCAGCTCACAGACTCACATAATTATTCCCACCATCCTTGCCATCACTCATCCTCAAGCCACTCCCTTCTTCACAAGTTAATAAATTCTGGGTGAGGCACTGGGGCAGGCGTTTGGTCCATGAATTCTCACCTGGATGGGACTTAGGACTCTTTGGCTGTTCATAATAATAAATATGTCTTAGTGCCTTTGTTCTTGCTGTGGGTTGCACTGGAGGTGATAGATTGGAATTAACTCACCGGGATTCCAACAACATTTTGATGGGATTACAAATATAACTTCCCAGACCACGAGGAGGATGAGGAAAGGGATTACAATATTTGGATGACAATACCAACCAAGACTAGTCATGAGTCTCAGCCTTAAGACAGTAGAGGGTTTGCTTTGTTTTGTAACATTTGGTTTTATTCTCTTCCAAAAAAGTAAATATTATAAATATGTTTAATTATTGTAAAAAAGAGAGGAAAAGAAAGTGCACTAAAGGACACAATTGCAAGTATGTTTAGGTGTATAAGGTATATGATCATATTACTAAGTTTTTGTTGGATCACTGAACACAGTTGTTTGCAGTTTCACTGTTTGAATGTCCACTTTGTATGCTTAATTTTGTAACCTGATCAACTATTTCTAAGATGACAATATATAATTTATTAACTAGTGATTTCTTACTGTTGATTTTCTTTTTTGAAATTTTGTATTACTTGTACCCTTTTACTGTTTTGTTTCGTTCTCTTTAAATAATAATTAAAAAAAAAAAAGAGAACAGAGGGTAGAAGGACCTCATACCCCACTCAAGAGCTGGACAGAGAGCTGGACAATCCTGACAGGTGAAACTTCCACTTCTAACAATGCATCTTTAAGCTCCTTGTTAGGCCAAGAATTTAGTGTCAAGAATTAAAGGAGTGATTCAGTTTTTGGGAAGATGGCCCAGCATCATGTCCTGACTGGTTGTGTCCTGTAGGTCACATCATGTCCTGTAGGTTGTGAAGGCATCTTCCTTTTCAGGACCCTGCCTACCTTGTTGACCTGGAAAAGGCATGAGACAGCAGCGGCACCCAGAGGAGCCCAAGAATGTCAGGGCTGAAAGCCCAGTGGTGGGTGATGGGCAGCTGACACTCAGGCTAAGAAAGGAGGCTCCTGAGGAGGCTGCAGAAGCCAAGGGGGACAAAAGTATGACTCCCTGGAGAAATGACACAAAAACAATTTCAGCTGGTAAATCTTTTATTTTTCAGAAAAGAACCCTGGTGTACATGATTTGCTCTGATTTATATGCAGCAATTAAAAGGATGAAGCTGAAAATGATTGGAAAACTAGGCCCTGCTGCAACCAGGAGTAATTCCCAGAAAGTTGCAGGTCTCAGCGCTGCAAAGCTTTCCTCTGCATTTTCCAGCAACAGGAATATATGCTTACAGTGAAAAGAGTGTGGGAGAAAACAAATGTGAATTAAATAATAGAGAGAGCCAGGGATTTAGCTCAGTGGCACAAGCATCTTTCTGGCAAGTGTAAGATCATGAGTTCCATCTCTGGGACCAAAAAAAAAAAGTAATGATGAGACCACTCCTACAGCCAAACTAAAGATTTGTCCTAGGTCCTGTGCTCCCTGTCAGCACTTGAGGTTCCCATGCATCTATTCAGAATGAGAACCCCAAGTCAGAAACAAATGTCACCAAAGCATTCTACTTTAAAGTTTAAGTAAACTTAAAAAAGTATTTGAATCATAATAAAATAAAATTTAAAATTTCAGTGGATAGCAAATTAATTGTACTTTCTATTACAGATATAATTCAGTCATGTGATTTTTTTGAAAAAAACATACAGAAACAGCCTAATTAAGATAGGTAAGCGAGCTGAGTAGATGTCCCACTAAAGAAAATAGATGGGAAGGAAGCATTTGAGATTTGTTGATCCAAAACTGCTCAGCATCATCCAGCACAATGAACTGCAGATTTAAAACCATGGTGAGGTGCCACTCTGTGTGTGCTGGGACTGCTGATATCCAAGTCCATATCAGCAATGCTGACAAAACTGTGAAGCAACAGGAACTCTCATTCATTGCTGGTTTCAATGCAAAACAGTCTGCCTATGTTTTGAGACAGTTTGGCAGTTTCTTAGGAAAGTAAACAAACTGGCCCTATGTCCAGAAATTTCACCCCTTTGTAGTTAACCAAATAAAATGAAAACTTGCACCTGAATATTTAGAACTGTTTTATTCTCAACTGCCTAAACTTGCAAGCAACCAAAATGTCCATTGGTAGATAAATGGACAAATAAACTACGGTATGGTGGAATTCTATGCAGTGGTCAGTGCTAAAGATAAAGGAGTTATGAAACCATGAACAGACACAAAGTAATCTTGAAAATACATTACAGCAAGTGAAAACACTGATCTGCAAGGGTTCACACTGGATGATTCCAGCAAAACTATGGAGAGAGTACAGAGATCAGCAGTTTGCTAAGGCTGAGAGGCAGGAAGGATGAACAGCAGTCAAACTGTTCTGTATTTTTTTTTTTTTTTTGAGACAGGGTCCCACTATAGTTTGGACTGGCCTCAAACTCATTATGTAGCCCAGGCTGGCCTCAAACTCACAGCCATCCCCCTTGCTCCTGAGTGCTGGGATTATACGTGTGTGCCACCATGACTGACAACATTCTGTATATTATAATGGTGTCTTTATATATGCTATTATATGCTTGTTCAAACCTACAGACTGTAACCACCAGGAGAGAATCCTATCATAAACTATGGACTTTGGTCTCTGAGGAGCTGCTGTTGGCCCACTGGTTACAACAAATGTGCCATTCTCGTGCTGGATGTCAGTGATGGCAGGGTCTGTGTACAGCTTACATGAGAACTATTTTCTCATGTGCTGTAACCCTAAAACTGCTCTCAGAAAAGATTAGTTAAGAAAAATTGAAGATAAAACAAGCAGACACACACCAAAAAGAAGTCAGCCTCTTCCCCGATTCTCACAGTCAGTCCTGCTTTCCTTAAGCACACCAAACAGGAACTTGCTTGAGCTTCCCTTTATTTTTATGGAAGATAAGAACCGGATGTGCAGATTCTATGGGATACTTTTTCCTTTTGATATCCAAATCCACTGAGCTCCTACTGGACATACAGCCAGCAGCTATTGACAGATCTCCCAGCCTCTCTGTGGTCAGACAGGGTCATGTGACCTTTTTCCTGACTTCGGGTAGGAGGAATACAAGGGATGTACAAACCACAGGAGGAAAGAGATTCTCCTTCCAACCCATTCATGGGCTCAAATGTATCCGTGGTGCTCTGGGCCACCTTTTATAATATTTTTGTTATTCAATTGCATTGGACTTATTTTTGGTGGTTCAAAAACTTTCCATAGTCAAAAAAGTATCTTGCTTTTTTTCATAATTTTGTGGGAGCAGGGAGGTGTGTAGAGACTAACCGCAGCTGCTTGTGCATGCTAAACACACCATTTGTATTTCAACATTTGTTTATAACCTTCAGAAGGCACAGATTCTTCCGGTGTGATGTTCACTGATGTACTCCAAGAACTTGGCACCAAACTTAGCACTGAGGATATAGTTTCTAATTCTCTGTCTCAATATTTACATTTAACTCTTCTGTCATCTCTGAATCTATTTTACCTTAGAGTATGAAAAGGTTGTGGTCTTTATTTGGTCCCATCATTTGCAGAATAGTCCTTTTCTTGCTCTTGTGACATCCATCTAGGCATTTCTGCACATGTACGGAAATGGCTCAGTTCAAAAATGTTTCCGTTCTGAACAATTTGGTTGGTGAACAAAAGCCTTTGGCAAAATTTTGCTTTCATTCATGTACTCTGCACTGGGTAATGAACATGTACCATCTTTCCCTCATGAACACAAATGTGCCATCTCCCCCAGAATGGTGGAATGAATTAAGGCCGTGAGCAGAAGCACCACCATATGCACACATTCATACCCTGAAGTCTTAGTATATCGGGTCTATGGTGAGGTTGTTTCTTCTGTTACATTGTTCTTCCCAAAGAATCAGCCAATAAGACATTATTTTGATGATTATGACCTACATTATGCTTTAATATCTGACAGGACACAGCTCTTCTCAGCACTACTCTTCCTCTAATATATTATTTCAGATTACTTGGTCAAGCCCCCTACTAATAAAAAGCTTTCTTTAAAATAAATTGTTAAATTAAAACAGCAGGGAGCTCCAGATTCCTTTCTCTATTTAATTTACAGGTTGTCATGTGCCCCAACATGTAGCCACTTACTTGAACAGCCCGGCCCGGTGGAAGACGTAGAGGTCATGCTGGAGTGTGCAGTCATCAAAGGGGATGACCTTCACGAAGTTCTGGATGAGGGCAAACTCAGGGGTAAGTTGGGGCACCGAAATGATGCAGAAGTTCTTGCCCTAGTGTGATCAAAAGCCAGGGCACACAAGAAGCACAAGAAGCATATATCATTGAACATGTTCCTGCTATATGGCACAAAGGAAAATAGAAGCAAAATGTATGAAGAAGATTCTCAATTAGTTTCCTATATTTTCAAAAGTAATCACACAAAATTCAGAGACATGCAATTATAAGAAGATGGAGAAAATAGCTGTGAGTCTGACTGAACCCTGAATAAGTGAACATTAGAAACAACAGCCCCTATTTGGGATAGCTGTCTGACGGAAGTGGCCTTTGAGGCTAAGAACGCTTATTCTTGTGAATTCATTGAACCAATGAGGCAGCATAGTGCCCTGGCATAGGCCTTGTCCTCACTCCTTGAGGTGTCAGAGAGGTATGTCAGGCCCTCTGGTTCTAAGATCCTGATTACACACAGTCTGGGTTATTGATCATGGGTTTAGGCTGCAGAGACAGGTGGGTCCAAATGTCCTGTCGGGTACCTTCCTGACCTGCACTTTCTGCTTTCTCGATCAGCACTACCTCCAGGACCTCCACTGTACTATATGGTAGCTATGGCCACATCCAACTGATGAGCGTTTGGAATGTGGCTGTTGACTAGCAGCCAAATTTTCAGCCTAACTTCCTTTAAATCTAAAAACTAGTGTTTGGTTCCATTTATTAAAAATGTATTATGTATGATCAAAATTGACTGATTTTAGAACCCACTCATCCCAATGTATGTGAATTTCTTCATCTAGCTGTAGATTTTATGAGACTCAAATCCAGATCAAGTATTTCTGATGAAAATGCAGTACTTGTATTGAGAAGCGCTATAATATAAAATAAACACTCGCTTTCAAAGGCTTGGAGTGAGAGAAAGAATGTAAACTAGCTCATTAATAATTTGTCACTTTGTGCTTTCAGTGTTTATTTGATCATTTTTTCATGCCTAAATCTTGTAACCTGAACAACTGCTTCTAAGATAATGATATGCAGTACATTAACTAATGTTAGTGTCCTATTTTTTAAAAATTCTGTATCATTCCTTTTTTCATTTGTTTTAAAAGTAATAAATAAATAAAAACAATTTGTCACCTTGATCATGTGTTGAAATGGTAAATGTGGAGATACCAAGCGAGATGAACAGGTTATTAACATAGGGGTCGCTGGCCCCTTTCACCTGGGGCTCATGTGGCCACCAAATCTCTGGCAATGGCTGTCGGGGTCGTGTGGTGTCTACAGTTGGGCGGCTCTGGGCTGCTTCTGTTCCCTGCAGCCACTTGACCCTCTGCCAGGTCCCTGCAGAAGCGGTCTGCTCTTCCCAGAGCTAATTTGTCCCTCTGGGACCTCACTTCCCCGTGAGCCCTGTGAAGGCATCACTCACACTAATCCAAAGCCCTGGGGATGTGTGTACAACCCAAAGGGAGTGAATCATTATTTGACCTTATCTTCCTTCTTTCTGGCAAAATAACACCACTCCTTTTGGGAAACTGTAGAGTCAGGTTGCAAATTACTCAAGCTGAAAATAAGGCTGGGGGCCAAGTCTCGGTGGGCTTCCTTCAGGAAGGGAGCCTCGCTGTAATGAGCTGCTTTAGCTTGGACTGGAAGGATTAAGGATGTACTAAGGAAGGTATTTTGCTCCTATTTCCTCATATCTCAAAATCAAATAGGATTTAAAAAAGTAAACAGGTCTTCTGCTGCCTTCAGCTGTTATTTTATAATACTGAAGATCTGCCTTTGTACGGACTTTAAAAATTAAACTTAGTGAAATTTCTTTGAAGCAAATTGGGGAAGACCAGCTTTGTAAATTCTCTGTTGGGGGTGATCTATGTTGCTTTAGGAACTTCTAAAATGCCTTAAAGTTAATTCAAAGAAATTAATTTAGAGAATATATTGTCTTATTACAAGGCCTCATTATATTTAAAAATGAGGAAACAAAGCCTAATATCACCTGTTCTTTAGACAATATAAGTGAACTGTGTTTATTCCTGCCATGGTAGAAAGAGTACAAGGAAACACTGGGCTTGGAATTGGCCACATGAAGAGTGGCCACTGTGGCAGCCACAGGAACCTGGCACCCCTTTTCCTCCTCCCAGCAAAGTGAGAAGAGGCAGATTGGGAGCTGCACCCCAACAACACCGAGCCCACAGGAGAGAAGGGTCAGGATACCCCAGATGGGCGATGCACTCTGCACACAGGTGTGATCGGTCCCTTCCACACACCACCAGCGCCATGTCAGGCCCAGAGCAAGCCTGGAAGCCACTCCGGAGCTCGCCCTTTCCTCACTGACACAAAACCTCAGTGACTGTGGAAAAAGTACATACTGTCATTCACCCTAGCACCATCGCTGACAATTTTCCTATGCTGCGATCATGATGTGAGTCTAATAAAACAGCAGCAAAGCTATCCCTAAAAGGAATTGTACACTGAAAGAAAATGTAGAGCACGTAACTGAAGAATTACTGAACATGACAATGTTTCTCATGTGTAAGAGTTCCTAACCTTATCCTCAGGACACAGAAGCAGCTCGAACCTCAGCACCCAGAGCTCAGTAAATGCCTGGGCAATAACTGTAGAATTTTACTTCCTTCCACTGTATCCAAACTATGAAACCAATGGTAATACCCAACCTCAGCGTGTACTCACAGGAAAGAGACTGAAGACGAAATTCATAAAATCCAGCGACCTGTAAACAAGGCAGGGCACACTGTTAATGGCCTGCTTACAAACAGAGCAGGGGGACATCTGAGGAGATCTCTGGCTCTCTCTGGCTTGGGCAGTGATGAGCCTATCACAAGTCAGAATGTGTCAAGCAGAATATAAATCACAGTAGCATGTGTCAGCAGTATTTTGTTGGTCAAGTTACTGTCATCACAATTAATAATCTCTGCACATTTGAAAAATCACAGGAAGCCAGGCATGGTGCTTCACACCTATAATCTTAGCACTCAGGAGGCTGAGACAGGAGGATCACTGCGAGTTCAAGGCCAGGCTGGGTTACATAGCAAGACCTCATCTCAAAACAAAAATACAAAAAGCCACAGGAAAGACAGTCATTATGCAGGTGCCATTCTGCTCAATATAGGTAGGTTCTAGGCTATTCTTGTTCTCTTTCATATGCAAAAGATTTTCTGGCCAACTTTCTGTTCACATTCACAGGCAATGCACACTGGATCATCAAATTTCTGCTTAAAAATCCAAAAGTCACATCTAGACTCACTCATATCAAAATGCACAGGGGAAAGGAATATTAAGACCAGTCTACTAGGGCTGTACAAGTAAGCTTTTTAGATCCCTATAATATAATTTGAATTTTTTTGTATTTTTCTTTTCAAGCTTCAAGATCTTCAGAGGGAGCTGGAGATTTAGCTCAGTGGCTAAGCGCCTGCCTTGCAAGCACACAGTCGTGAGTTCTTATCCCTAATACTGATTAAAAAAAAAAAAGATCTCCACAGAGGCTGAAAGCTTCAAGGTTAAAAATGAAAAGCATGAGGTTGTTTACAGGAGCCTGGGAGACTGGAGCTATGTTCAAAAATGTCTGCTAAAATATCATGCCCGGCCCTGAGCAAGGTCACCTAAAGTACTCCAGTGTGTCTCTGTCACATGGGACAGTTCCTTCCTCCCTGGACTGTCCTGGGCAGCTGCTGGACAGCTGGTGTGCTAGAGGACATGCAAACTGTGGGCCAGGAGGGTAGCGGTCCAGGTCCAGACTGGGGATTGGGGGGGGGGGCAAGACCTGAATGCTGGGCACACAGAGGGGCAGACAGGGTGACAGGCAGTCCAGCTGCCCACGGATGCACTCTTCACTGATCTCTGGGTGAGGCTGCTGTCCCAGGTGTGGGGTGGGGCTCAGGGAAGGCGACTGAGCCCATTCTGAGGCCTGACTAGGTCACTGTCAGAATGAGCAGATTCCATTTGGGCCTTGTGGGACTTTGGCTGGCAAGACCGAACCAGAGTGTCCTTCACCAGATGTCCATGTAGACTGGACACAGTCAGCAAACATGGCCCCAGGCTGAGGCCACTGAAGAGGACCAAGACAAAGATGCAGGGAGAGAAGGCCAGTCCCTGGTTCAATCAGCTACATCTGAGCTCAAAACCTATTTGAAATTAGCCCCACAACTGGACTCCTCCATAGCTGTGGGAAGTAATGGTTCTATCTTTTTTCCCCAAAGTCAATTTCAATGGGGTTTTCCATCACCTGGAACCAAAGACTCCAGGTAGGAAGCAACCCAAATTCCAAGTCTCTGGGAACTTCAGAGAAGGGGAGCAGCACGTGGCCAGTTTCTAGATCCCCACTGTGATGCAGGGAGCCCAGACCTTGCAGCTTTCATTCCCGCATTCGGCTCCCTCACCCAAATCTGATGGATAGGACCTCTGGGTGAGGCCTAAGACTCCACTGTTGGAAAAATTCCCCAAGAGATGTGGACGTGGGGTGCCAGGCTTAGAAACACTGGCTCTGCAAAATTAAAGCACTGGGCCACCAACTTCACAGGTAATTTTGACCCTAACCGACCGCAAGGAGACCAGCACTTGCCTTGCCTCATACTTCTCATCGATACAAAAGAGTTGAATGCAGAACACACTGGCGTCCCCTCTGTAGACTGGGCGGAAGCGGCCCGGCTCCTCAGGCAGCAGGATGGATGCTAAACTCCAGCGGCTGGCATTATATTCTTGCTCAGTGATGTGGGAGAGCAGATTGAGTTTATCCATGTCCTATGGCAGGGAGAAAGAAGGCTCCAGGGGGAGTCCTGCTCATTTGGGCAGGCTCATGAGGTGGCGGCTGCATCATCTTTACTTCGCACTGCTCCTAGCAAGGTAACCATCTCACCTACAAACTCACTGTAAGCCTGGCCATTAAGATGCTCTTAATGAAGCCGGGTGTGACCACCCAGGCCTGTAATCCCAGCATTCTGGGAGACTGACACAGGAGGATCACAAGTTTGAGCCAGTCTGAGTAACTTCGTGAGTTAGCAAGACCCTGTCCTGAAATAAAAAATGAAACAAGGGTTGCTCTGTGTAAAGGTTGTAGGTTCAATCTCCCATACCACACATACACACAGAATGGTCTTAATGAGATTCAGAACTTATAAAACTATTAAGACAAGTTCTCCCACAAAGGTCAGAAAATAAATGTTTGCCATTGGCCTTTGATAGAGGATCTATATTTTTAATCTACATCACTGGGTAGAAATTAGAGCACTATAGTCACACACACACACACACACACACACACACACACACACACACACAGGCGCACACACACTTACTCTTCCATCAGCAAAACAGCTCTGCCCCCTAAAACTGTTCCTACTGGGATTTTGTGCACAAGAATTTTACCTGGTGTTGGGCTAGTGTAGTGGTAAAGTCAAAAGAGGAAGAGCCTGATTTTAGGGGCACCTGGAAGGGGGTTACCACTTGGGGAAATTGATTCATTCTGAGTTCTTGGGTTCTATTAAATCAAAGACATACATGCATATGGTAAAAATTAAGATAATATTAGCCCTAAAACGTATAGGACATCAGCAGGCCTGTCTCCCTCAGTTTCCTGCCCTATTAGGCATTTTCAATGTTTTCATTTTGTGGGTATTTATCCATTTCTGAGTAATATACTTATGCTAGTTGATGAATTAATTCATCCATTTTTGAAACTTCCTACTGCATAGTGCTGTTGTGGGTGGATTTCCTCTCCCCCAATTCTATCTCCCCAGTACTGTAATTATATCACAGCCTAAAGTTACATCAGTACTTATGTTAGTGTGAACATGGAAGTGTTATTTGACTATGTATTGTTAATAAAGACAGGGTATTGCGGTATTGCTAAACACAGTAGAACAATGTGATTGTTTTCTTTCATACACTTTGCTTTGATTTGCTTGATTTCCTTTGTTGTTTCATGGGCTTCATCAGATTTGCCACATGTTGGACAGTATCACTTCTGAGTGATGGGGCATCGGAACTGATCTGTGAACTTCACTTTCCCACCTTGCCTCATCTAGACTCGCAGTTCCAGCCTGCAGCATCGCCTTGCTTATAGCTCCTGCTCCCAAGTGCTTTTTCTCACTCCCAGCTGAGGTCCTTTTAGCACTGGAGCCCATGTCCAGCTTCCAAAAGGCAACAGTGTGTGGAAGGCAAAATGCAGCAGCACCTGGCTAAGGAGGACACTTTGTGGGATGAACTGGCAGGGGCTGGAAGTGGGGACAGCATCCCAAGTGATGTGATCTGAAGCCTCCCCACTGTGCCTGTCAGGTTTGGGGTGCGTGGTTCTAAAGTGGCTGCACAGGAACCCGTGCTTGCAGAGAAGTGGCCCCAATGGTATGTGCCCTCATTCCTGAACTCCCTGGCGTGCTATCTCACAGGGTCAAGGGACACTGCAGATGCCATTCCATCAGGGCTTCTGCCATAAGGAGAGTACGTGGGGTATCACACGAACCCCAGGTATCATGAGTCCTCACGACAGGGAGGCAGGGGACTAGTGGGGCCAGGGTTAGGGTCAGAGCGCTCTGTGCCCAGGAATGCAAGCATCTCCATGAAGTGGAACAAACAAGGCAATCTTCTCCCCAACTCCTTCAGAAGCCCCTCTCTGTGGAGATCAGAACAGCAAAGCCATTCTGAACTCCTAGCCACCAGAGCCTTAGACTAATACAGGTATGTGCCACTTTGAGCCACCAAGCCTGTGGTGATTTGGACCACAGTGACACAATATTGCAGGGCCACAGCCCTGAAATGCAGGACTCCTCCCACCACTGTGCATGCCCTCACCACACTGCCTCCCACTGGCAGGAGCCTGAGCTTGCTTCTTCTTCTTCTTGACTTCTGAAAACAGTCACCAGGTTGCTTCCCTAGGGTCCAGCAGATGAACTAAGTGGTACAGGCAGGGAATGGGGTTCTGCTTTGCCCCATCTCGGGCTGTGTGCAGCCCTGCGCCTTGCCTTCCTTCAGCCAAAGCTCCCATCCTCGCCCTTACATTGTCCCCCTTCCCCTTTCTGCCTGGGCTAAGCCACTGTAAACTCCTCCATCGATTTTCTGGTTTCCAAATATTTTTAAAGTGCTTATCTTCCAATAACTCTTCTTTGTCTCGCCGCCTTTGTGGATTTGTGTCATTTTAGTGTTTTCTTCCAGCAGGGTCAGGAGATGAACTCGGAGATGAAGCCTCACTGTTTACCCAGAAGCCGTCAGAGTCCCAAAGGTTCTTTGCCAGGTTGACCCCCCACATCCTTGTTTGGGCCATCAAGGACCACTGGAGAAGACACTACCAACTCAGGGGAGTCCTTCCAGATCGAGCACGCCAGGGCTGCATCCTGCTGAAGTCACAGAAGACCATGCGGAACACTCCAGAGGCAAAGGGCTTCAGCTCCCTCCAGGCATAGCCACAGCAGCTGAGGGGCTCTCACCCCTCCTGGGGTATGAGCCCAGAGGGCTCTTGCAGGGTCTGCCCTCCATGCTCTAGCTCCAGGCTTTTCCTTTCAACCCAGTGGCAGCCATGAGAGAGAGAGAAACATTCACCCTGGCTGACTTCTGCAGAGACTCCTTCACTGTTCAGAATCTGGGAGGAAAGTGGCCACACGCATGGCCCTCCAGCAGACCTCCAGTGTCTGCAGTCAGTGATCAGTGCATGTGTCCCAGGGCCACCCTGAACCTGACTGCCCTGTCCCCTTCCCAGACAACACATGGAGTCTGCTGCCCATCACCAGGACCCCGCAGGTGCACACAGCACTGTGGAAGGCAATGTCTGATCCGACAACCACAGCCTCACCTCACTCCCTGGAGAAGACAGAGCCTGTGCAGGGGCCATGGAACCTGGCCACCCCCTTGGCTCTGGCAGAAATGGAGGGCGCCTCGAGTGTACACGGTCAGTTTGACCAAGGGCCACATGCAAAACACGGGTGGGTGGAGGGAAGCCAGGGATTCCCTGGAAGGGATGCATTTCTCCTGGCTGGAATCAGTATCCGGAGGGGCAGGCACTGGAGCCTGAGGAAGATGCGAAGGGCATGTAGCACCTTCAGGTGTGCACGGTATGAGTGTGTGTGTACACACTCACATGTGTGCACATGCTACAATAGAGTCCTGCAAACCTTGTGCCTCTGCAAAACATTTTCTTTTTCAGCAAGGGGAGGAAGAGAAGGGGTATTTACTGAAATTGTCACAAATAATGTATAATCCATAACGCTAATCCAAACTCTGGGGAGGGGTCACCTTCAGGGTCACAGGAAGCAGGAGGCTTTGTGGAGTGGGTCCAAAGGGCACTGGGTGTGAACTGAGAAAGAGGCGGAGTCTGGAGAAGAAAAAGGTGCTCAAGACTTAGGGGTCAGCTTGAACTTGGGGCGTGGCCAGTTGTCAGGCAAAAGCTCTGAGTACACCCTACCTGTATTTCACTGGCATTTTCACTGTGGGCTTCTGAGAGGGGTTCAGGTTCTTCCATGACTTTTTCCTGCAAATGACAACAGCGAGACACAAAAATTAATGGACCCCATGGCATCCCGATCCCAAGCTCTAGAGCAGCAAACCCAGGCTGGGAGGTGAAGGGAAGGAGCTTCAGTTTCCTTGACTGAAAAAGGAGACAGAAACAGTTCTACTCCCTAAGGTTGCTAGGAGGATAAAATAAGGATGGAAAGGGAGAACAAAGATGGACAGATGGGTCAATCAATTAACGGTGGATGACTGACAGGTGGCAGGCAGGTGTGCAGCACAGGGAGGGCTCCTTTTCCCTGAGGGTGTTAGTTATGACGTCATTTCTCTGATTGGTCTACATCACTAGACAGCTGCACTGCTTTTTCAAAAATCTGCTTCACTGAGTGAGGTATAATCAGCATACAATAGAGTGCAGATATTTAAAATGTACCTTTTGGAGCTGGGGATTTAGCTCAGTGGCATAAGCGCCTGCCTTGCAAGCAGGCAGTTGTGAGTTCGATCCCCGGTACTGATAAAAAGGAAAAAGACAAAAAAAAATAAATATAAAATAAAAAAATAAAATAAAATGTACCTTTTGAAAGTATGACATCGCCCCCATCAGAATAGAGCCCATGCCTTTCTCCCCTGCTTCCATGTGGCTCTGGCGCCTGCTGCTTGGCAGCTTGGGGACAACAGGTGAACCCCGATCTGTTCTTGGCTGCTGTGGCTTCGTCAGTGTTTTCTGGGATTTTATATGAAAGAAGACATGCAGTACTGGCAGGGGAGGAGGACTGTTCCTCCACATCTCTTAGCACATTTGGTTTGAAACCTCCCTATGCTGCTGTGGTTAGTAGGGGGTCATTCCTTCTGTCACTTCTGTCACTGAGTGCGACTCTGAGTAGGGATTCCCACACCCTCTCCAAGGCCCCTCCACCAGGCAGGATGGCCCATCTTAGTAGTAGTCACTCCTGTAGGGGCACAGTCAGGTCTCACTGTGGGTTTAATCTGCATTTCCTAAGTGACTAATGACGTGGGTGTCATTTCATGTAGCATGTCTCCATTTAGAAAGGGTCTGTTTCAGTTTTTGTCTCTGTTTTTATTAGGGTATTTTACAGCTTTAAAAAATATTAAGGGAACAACTACATTGTCAGATATATAACTGGAAATATTTTCTCCTAGTCTCTCTTTCGTATTCTTTTTTTTTTTTTTTTTTTTTTTTTTTTTTGTCTTTTTGAGACAGGGTCTCTATGCAGTTCAGGCTGGCCTTGAACTCACTTTGTAGCCCAGGATGGTCTTGATCTTGCAACGATCTTCCTGCCAAGGCCTCCTGAGTGCTGGGATTACAGGTGTGAGCCACCACGCCCGGCTTTCTTTCATATTCTTAAAAATATTTTCTCAAAAAGTTCTATATCTTGATGATGTCTAATTTAGCATTTATTCTTTTATGTACTATTTTGTATCTTTTATGTATATTTTGCATCTAAAAAGTCTTCACCTGACCCTAAGTCACAAATGTCTTCTCCTTGAACAGGTCTGGAGTTCACATTTAGGCCTACGATCCATTTGTAGTTCATTTCTACATTTGGTGAGTCATGGATTCAGATTTAAAACTTTTGTATATGGAAATGCAATTAGTTTAGCTCCACTTACTGAAAAGACCAACTGTTCTCTTCTGCAGTATCACCTACCTTTGTCAAAAACCAATAGTCTACAAGGGAATTTTTTATTCTACTCATTTAGTTGTTGATCTTGACAGTAATTCTACACTGTCCTAATTACAAGAATAGTCTTCAGAATAAGTCTTGAAATCAATTATAATCCTACACTTTGCCTGTTTTCAAAGTTGTTCTGCAATATTATATATCATGGATCCATTCTACTTCCATATGAACTTTGGAAACAATTATTTCTCATTTCCATAATCATTCCGGCTCATACTGTCATTGAGATTTCACAGAATCTAAAGATAAATTTGAGGAATTAAAATCTTGGAAATATCCAGTCTTTCAGTGTTTAAGCATAAGATGTCTTGCTATTCATTTCTTCTTTAATTTCTGTCACAAATGTCTTGTAATTTTCAGTGTACAAGTCTGGAACATCTTTCATAAGATTCATTTCCAAATATTTCATATATTTGTACTGTTTTTAAGTGGCACTTATTTCATTTTCTGACTGTTCATTCCTATCATACTGAGATGTAGTTGAGCTTGGCATATTAATTTTGTATGTATTTTACAAACTTGTTAAATATATATTAGTACTAATAGCCTAGACAACTGTGCTGTGAACATAAGGTTGTTTTAGTTCTTCCTTTCCAATCCAATGCCTTTTATTTCTTTTAATGTCTTTCTGCACTGGCTTAGTGTACACATCCAGTTTTGAACTGAAGTAAGGAGAACAGATATTCTCATTTTACTCCTGACTTTACGGAGAAAGCACTTAGCCTTTTACCATTAAGCATGATGCTAGCTGTAGGTTCCTCAAAAATAACCTTTATCAAATTAAGCTCTCTTCTACTCCTAGTTTTCTGAAGTTTTTACGAGGAATGGATGTTGAATTTGCAAGTACCTTTTTCTGCATATATGAGAATGTATGTATGGGCTTTCTTTAGCTTGTTAATATGGTGAAATGAATTGATTTTCTTATGTTTAAGCAACCTTGAGTTAAGTTGTATATATTGACTCAGTTACTTTTCCCATCAATGCTCCTGAGTGCGACTCTGAGTAGGGATTCCCAAGGCCCTCTCCAAGGCCCCTCCACCAGGCAGGAGGAGCAGGGATTTCCAGTTGTATCTCTTGTAATGTCTTTTGAACACCAAGGGTTAGATGACTTGAGTCTTTTTAAATTCATCAAGACACTCTAGGGCCTCCAACATGGTCCAGTTTGGCAAATGTCCTGTGTGTACTCTATCCCCAGCTTGCCCCTCCACCTCACCCATACTGCTCTTCACATTTTCTCTTTATCAATAGTTTCTCACTCTCTGGTCATGGCTTTGGCAATTTTGTGCCCACTTCTCATGCTAGGTGTTGAGCTTCTTTATTGCTTGGTTAGTTTTTCTTTGTTCACCAAATTTGGGGGTCTTTTTGGTTATTGTTTCTGCAAATATCTTTTTGTTCCAATCTTTCTCTTCTTCTACATAGGCTGTATATATTACATCCTTGAGGTTGGGCTATTATTGATAGATTGAGCTTCTGGAAAAAATATTTCTCTGTGTTTCAAGTTTACTAATCTGTTCTTGGTGATGTCTAATCTGTTATTAATTCTTCCAGTGCTTTTTTCAATTTATATATTGCAGCTATATATTATAGTCTTATTTGGAGCATTTTTATGTTTTTATGTATCTATTTAACCTTTGGAACATATGAAGTAGAGATACACTGAACTGTTTTAATGTTCAAACCCACTAATTCTAACATCTATTTCAGATCTAGATTTGTTTCAATTGATATGCTTATCTCTACCTTATGTATCATTTATTCCCTTTTATTTGAGCACATAATTTTTATTAGATTCCAAGCATTGTGAAGTTTACCTAGTTGAGGACAGGATAATTTTGTACCCCTACAAATACGCTTGGACTTTGGGATGGTTAAACTATGTGGAAACAGTTCGAACCTTCTGGCCCTTGCTTTGAAGATTAAAGAGGACAAAAGTAGTGCCTTTTCTGGAGTTAATGATTCCCCACAATGAAGGCAAGACTCTTCCCCAAAGCCATGGGAGTCATTAGATTTTCCAGTCTGGGTAGGGTAGGAACGGGCTACATTCTTGGCCTTGCCTGAGCACTGGGTACTGTTAACTCAGTCCTTTCTGAAGTTCTTCACTCAGTCTGACTATAGAGCTTTCCAGAGGCATGCTCTGATCAGTCCTCAGCTGCACACTCAAAAGTGGTCCCCTCAGACTAATGACATTTCTCTCTGTTCTCTGCTACTCTGTCCTTCAAGCTGTAGTGCTTTAGTCTCCATGGACTCATAGATCGGATTCATAGATTGGCCTCTTCTGTTCAAGAATTCGGCAGGTCTCTCCTGTTCTGTGCAGTGCTTGGAAATTCCTCAAGGAAGGAAGAGCCAGAGTGACCATGAGGTGCACCTGGGCATTTCTGTCTTTGGTTTTAGAGACAGGAGGGAAAATGTCTGTGCTTCATAAATTTTAGTGACTTTCTGATTGTGTGAGGCCAGTGTCTAACTCCATCTTAGTTCCTGGTGCTTTTGTCTTCAAACTGTCTACCAGTTTCATTTCCCTCAGCCCTTCAGCCCCCCCCCCCCCCATGTCATGCTTTCTCCCTAACTTCAGCAGAGGCCCCCTCCCTTCCCTTTCAGGACACAACTCCTGCAGGTGCCAGCTGTGTCCTCATCCCTCAGCACAGAGCTGTGGCTGTGACACCTGATCTCCATGCACAGAATAGATCTGCACCTGAGACAACGCCCAGCTGACTGTGGGTTGAGCCTTTCGTGGTGTGGGGGGCCAGCATGTACTTCCCCTTAGATATGACACGACAACTGTGAGGACAATCAGGTGACCTGGAGCTGAGGCTCAGGTCCTCGCTCCTCCCTGCTTTCCTTCCTGAACTTCCTTCTGTACCAGTTGACCAGTGGAGGAAGGAAAAGGCAGGAGAGACTACAGACAGGATGTGATGGCCCATGGCTTGCCCCCAGGCACACCTGGGCAAGGGATAGGTTCTGGCCAGCTAAGCAGCTGAGGGACATGCATCAGGATTGATGTGGCACAAACTGACCATGTCACCCCAGGGGTGAGTCCGATTTCCTGTCCCACCCCACCCCTTTAGAGCTGAAGTCAGCTTTAAAGGAGGGGACTCATGTGGACTGGTTCCTGGGGACACAAGCTGAAGCCCCATGGGAATATATGAGGACACAAAATGGGCATGGATGTTTTTATGTTACTGTGAACCTACATGCTGTCAAAAGGCTACGTGGACAGAATGATGATTGGATTGTGGGGCCCCTCACCAAATCTATCCCACAGCCAGCTCTAGACCCTTCTGATGAGATTTCCCTTGGTCAGGGAGGCAGCAGATACTGTGCCCTATTTGCACCAGGCTGCTAGGGCAGGGAGAGGGGGGTCTCCCCCTCACCAGCCAGGACCACAAAGTGGGCTGCTGATGACAGATGTGGCAGGGTCCTGTCATGCACAAGGCCCACTTGGGACAGGAACACAGGCCACTGCCTCTGAGTAGGCACAGGTCTGAGGTCTCTCTGCAGAGTCCCAGTTTCCTCTTGAGCTACAGTGTGGGGTAGAACAGGGTAGAGACTCTGCAGCATGCTGGAGCCCCTGAGTGTCCACCACAGGCCTTCACTCACTCATCCTTACTGTTGGGTGGCCTTTCCCACACCTGGTGATGGACTGCCTTGGGGACAACCCCAGACCAGCAGCAACTGACATCACAAGCAGCTCCAGCCACATCCCCACGCCAGGCATGCGACACCCTCCTCACCTGGGTGCTCCCTGTGGCTTCTGGAGAGGCCGGAACCGGGGGCTTCTCGGCTGTCCTCTGGGTACCCTGGCTATCTGCCCTGAGCGCAGCATCTGTGAGAGGAGCAAGGCAAGGTCAGGGCAGGTGACTGAAACAGCATGGCCTGAGTTTCTACACTGCAGTGAGTCTGAAGACTTAAGTCTGGGGTGGCACAGAGGGACAAGAGCTGGTCTCTGCAGCCCACACTGCCACTGGGGCCCCAGACTGACTCCCTCTCAACTCTCCACGTCCTCCTCTGTGCGATGGATGTGACTGGATCCTGCCCAGGTGATCAAACTGGGCCTGGCATGAGGGAGGAACGGTCACCAGACAGGAGAGCCCTATGTGAGTGGCCCCTGATTATCACCTTCCTGAACGCAGGCTTTGGAATGACCTCAAAACAGAGGCAGAAGGGGCCACAGTCAGCTCTGTGCATGCCACCAAAGCCCAGGATTCACTCAAGGGCTGCTTTCCCTCAGTGTGGAAGTACAGCAGTCAGCAGCAACAAGCTGCTGCTTCCTAAGCAAGAACTGGAGCTGCCATTACTGTTTCATATGTTCTAGAAAGTCACTAATCAGGGTGGGCTTCATGTGTTTAATCTGTACTTAAAAGCATAGTGGAGAAAATATTCCCATTTTCTCTGAGAAGGGTTTTCTACCTCCTCTTTCCTACCCACTTGCTCTCTGTCTCTCTCCCACATTCTCTCTGCTTCCTTTCTTTCTATTTTCATTCTTTAGCAGGGCAATCTGGGAGATCATTGTAGGATGCCCAACTGGCCTTCAGCCTGTCCAGTGCACTGTCAGGGGTCCCCTGCGACACTGGCTCTCGATCTTTGCATGTCACCATGGAGCAGCCTGGGGTGCCCCACCCATACACAAGAGGGGACCTGGATCCCCACAGCCAGCTCGGGTTTAATTGCCCCTCAGACACACCAGCCAGAGGCAGCCTGGGCCTCACTGCTTCCTCCTTGCCTGCTTTCCCCAATCTTCCAGTGCCTGCTGCAGTGACAGCCCTGCAATCACCTCTCAAGCCAAATTACCCAATCAAGAATGCTTTCTGGCTCCTCTCAAAAAAGATGTCAGTGAATGGAAAAGAACAGGGAGGCATAACACGGCACAGTCAGAGAGGTACATAAAGCTGCAGGTACAGAGAGAGAATCTCATCCTGACATGAGGCATGATGGGAAAATGGCTAAGAGGACTTAGAGTCCCTCTCCTGAAGACAGAGGCCTGGGGGGAAATAAAGCCCCATCTCAAGTTCCTGAATATGCCTGTGCCCTGCAAAATCTACCAGACAGCCTCTATGGGTTTCCAGCATGTCTGATGCTAAGAGTAGCATAGTTTGGTAGATTAATTTACTTTGCTGCTGGCAGGGAACACATAGGAAAATGTGCACAGCTCAACAAGTTTCTGCACCTGGCAACCTCAGAGAATATATAAAATGATAGCTCCCAGAACCTTCCTTCCTTGCCCTGCCCAGTCAATGTATCTATTCGGACTTTCACCATCAGTTTCCCTCAGCAGCAAACTTTTCAATGAAAAACCAATCATATCAATATATTCTTACTATTAAATTTCACTTTATTGAAAAGAAAGTGGTCTAAAGAATATAACTGCATGTATATTTACGTGTGTAGGATAGAAAACCGTATTACTGAGTTTTTGTTGGATCACTGAACAGAACTGTCTGCAATCTCACTGTATGAATGTCCACTTTGTATGCTTTAATTTTGTAATCTGGACAACTGTTTCTAAGATGACAATATGTAATCTATTAACTAGTGATTTCTTACTGTATATTTTTTCTTGAAATTCTGTATTACTTGTACCCTTTTACTACTTTGGTATTTTTCTCTTTAAATAAAAAAAGAAGAAAAATTCACTTTATTTTTTAAAAGATACTTCCTTTATATTTTGTTTTAATTTGAAGTACTACAAAAAGCCCAACCAAAAGAAAAGCAGATCCATACTTCATATATATTTCTTTGATGATTAGAGTGAAATCACTAAAGAATAAAAACCCTTAACAGGTGGATTAGATTTGCAATTAACTAATAGTCCTAGTGACTTCACTGCTTGGCTGTCTGATGTCATGGGACAATTACCAACAGCAAGGACTTATTGCCTGGGCTGCACTGTCACGAGGTGCTGTGGTTTATGTTAGGCAGCTGCCACCCATCCCTAGAGGATGCTATGTGGCACAATTGTGCGAGGTGACACTGTACTTCTGTCTCTCTGATTCCCCTGGGGCTTGGAAGGTTTAATTACAGTTAATTCTTATAACGGGCCCTGAGATCTCTGTGTGACCCGCTATCCAGGGAAAAGACAGGCTGTGCTTTTCTGTATTGTACAATAACCAAAAGTATGTCTGAGGCTGCAACTCAAACTGGCATTTGATGACTTGTGCCATTCCGTAGCTTGGAAGTCCCAAACTCTTGGCTGATTCTAGGAGGAATGAAGGCAGAATTTCCCAGTGTTTCCCCACCAGTGAGACTGCCTATCTGAAGTGGGGTTACTCCGAAGCTAATGAGACCATGTTCCAGTATAGGCTCCTCCCAAGACTCAGTAGCTAATGCTGCATTCTTAATTTTTCATTATTATCCTTAAAGAGTACCAGGATTATACCAGCATTATGCTCCATTAGACTTTGGATCTTTACTCTTTAATAGAAATCATGCATTTTGAAGTATTTAGGAATAATGCAAATTAATAACACTTTGAAGGGAATGTAAAATAATACACTGTGAAGGATTTAGGGTAAATAATAACCTATAATCTTTTATAATTAACATAATTTAAATATACACTAAAATTCAAAAAGATTTTTCTTTTATAAGATAAAGTGCCCCTAAAACAGTAAACAAATTTTGAAGAAAGAAGAACAGAGAATAGGCCAAATTTTGTGCTGAATATTAAGAATGATAAAGCCAAGGTGAAAGAGTGGGTTGTCAAGGCAAGAACAGAACAAAATAAAATCCCACAATATAGCCAGCTCATTATGAAATGCTGGTATGTGTTAATAGTGGCATTTCAGATCAGTGGGAAAGAATAAATCTATAAGCAGTGGTGTTGACTGGCCACATGAGGAAAAAATAAATTTCAGTTCCCAGTTCATACCAGAAATAAAAATTGTTTGCAGATTTGGCTCACAAATTTCACTCCTTCCACAATTCTGGGGAGCCATAGTCACATTCATTACCTGATGAGAGGTTCGTGGGCAGAAGCAAAATTTTGCCAAATGGAAACTGTTTGCAAACCAAAGTGTTTGTGAACCAAGGCAGTGTTCAGCCAAGTGCCCACTAGGAAGGCTAGTCTCAAACCCATGCAAGTCAGAAATCACAATCATCACAGGACGTGGGGGCCCATGCCTGTAATCCCAGAACTCTAGAGGCTGAGGCAGGAGGATCAGCACCAAATTCAAAAGTAGGCTAGCTACATAGCAAGTTAAAGATTAGCCTGAACTAAATAGTGCAATCCTAAGTCAAAAAAACAAAACAAAACAAAACAAAACACACAAAAACAACAGCCAAGAAATGATCCATTTACTCTTAACTAATCTCATCTCATGACCTGGTTCTGGCATCCCCCCGGATTGTGAAATCACCCTTGATATTTTCCTTCTGTCCAGCCTCCATCTCCACAATAATACAACAAGTTCCATTCGTGGTCCACTGTGCCTCCCAGGTCCATCCTGCCGTCCCTGCTCTGGATCTGTCCTTCCTCATCTTTGTCTGCAGCAGCATTTGCAAATTCTTCCCCTGAGCTGCAGGCTGCTCATGTGATACTCTGACCGAAGGGGTCCAGGCTCCCTCATCACACACAATGGGCAGAGCAGGATGGAATCTGCACCCCACATTCTCCTTATCCTGCCACTCCTGCATTGCTGCTCCCCAACACTGAGCCTGTGCTTCCTTCTACAGCATGGTCCTGAAGACCCTCTTACTCCATGCACTGGGTTTCTTCTGGCAGGAAAATCTGCCTGCTTATTCACCTCGAAAGCTCCAGTTTGACACTGAAATTTTGCTCAGAAAGTTTCTCTTCTATGAAGTCAATGCTGATCTTCCCGAGACAGCTTAGGTGACAGTCTGCCACGGTACTAGCACAATGCTCTGTCCTTACAAAGAGTTACTGTGATCCTGTTGGCATGTTCATTTGCCACTGAACGATGTTAAATTATTTCTTCCATATACTGGGCTAGGCTACTGGAAGTCTAATAAATGGGATACGCTCAGAGTTTGCTGAATGACTGAATGCACAGCAAGAGGTTGATAGTAAAGTCCTTCATGATTCAAATATGCACGAGATGGGAGAGAGGAGCCCTCTTTTTATGCTTTCAGTGAAACTCACCGATCTGGGCTGCATGCAGCCTCCGGGCCCTGCAGGGTGAGGAACATGGACTAAAGGCACTCGGCACTCTCAGCTTGCTGGCTTGAAATGAGACCACAGTGGCACCTCGGTTCATGAGCTTCATTCTTCCCAAGATTCTAGTCTCAAACTGAGTTGGGTGGGAACGAAACCAAATTCAGTGGTTATGTCCAACGTTGACCTCATGGGGAAATTTGATTCAGTTCTCATCCAATTTGGTTTGTGACCAGAATCATGGGAATATCTGAGTTTGTGAACAGAGGTGCCACGGTATAGGTCTCCTCCAAGAGATTGATACCATTCTCTCATTTCTCTTTTATCACCAATCCAGCCAGTACAACCTCATTCCAAAGTCTGGCAGGGACAGCTCACACCAGCCGTGTTGTCCATGAATACAGCTATGAAAATCCTAAACAAACCTAGCACATAAAATCTAGCATGATATGAAGCGAACTGTCAAGGGTAATTCGGGATTAATAAAATATTTGACATGCCAATCAAATAAAGTAATACCAAATCAAATAAAGTAATTATCTCATTAACAACAATAGAGGAGAATTATATGATCATTTCAGTAAATATAGAACAAAAGTACTCTATCAAATTCTGTTCAATTCTGTGGTGTTCAATATTGGGATTGTGGTGTGTGGTATACACCACAATCCCAGAACTCTGGGAGGCTAAGGCAGGAGGATCAACAAGTTCAAGCT